TCCAATTTGTACTTAAAATACTTTTTAAATAAATTTAGTTATCAACTGAACTAGCTAAAAGCATTTTCTTTAAAAAAAAAGTGTCTTGGTGTCACCCCCTAAATGGTGTCACCTGGTGCGGTACGCGCCCCACGCCCCCGCCTCAAGACGCCTCTGCGAACATGCAACATTAATGTTCTCTGAAATGGCGTGATTCCTATTTAAAGTGGCATAGGAAAATTTTTGGGTTTTAAATTTTTCTCCGGGAAAGTAAAATGATACGATATTAGTGGTAGTCTATGGTAATGTTTAGGTAATATTTAATAGCTATCTTTAATTTCGTGAAGATTGAAAAACTTTGTGTTAAGTTTCATTATAAGATGTGCACAATCCGTTAAAATCATGACTAATAATAATAATTTTTTAGGAATAATAGGAATAATTTTTTTTTAAACTTATTGGGTTTACATTTTTATTTTTAAAAAAATAACTTGAATGGTTTTTTTGTTGTTTTTTTAGATTTGAATAAACATTCTGACCTTCTAAACTATTAAAACATAATTCTAGTACTACTATCCTGCTGTTAGTTGACCCGTACCATGCTAACCACATCATATTGTTTTGAATCGCTGAGACAAATTCATCCCATCCATAACTTCATACTTAACCCAAACTCAAACTAAAAAAAAAAACTACAATCTTATAGGGCTAAGCAGACAGTAAAAAAAAAAAAAAGGAATGTACATACAAACTAAACATGAATTATATATTTTTAGTGACGAAGTATAAAAGTAATCGCTTACTGTGGCACCAGGGGGTTACCGACAAGTACAACATTGAGGAAATTATTTCTGTTGCAGACGGCATCGATACCTGAAACAACAATGGGTATTATGACGTAACAATATAGACGTCTGTATATTTTAATTTCTTTTTTGATATGTTATTGCAAATGTTGTAAGCACGTTATCAATAGTGTAACTATTATCATAAAAGCATATCTACACACAGTTTCATCTTATATATATATATATATATATATATAATATGCATACATATTTTGGTTAATATATATGTGAGTGTATATATATATATATATATATATACATATATATATATATATACATATATATATATATATATATATATATATATATATATATATATATATATATATATATATATATATATATATATATATATCGTAATACCATATGTATAAGTAAGTAAAGACCTAGCAATCCCTTGGGCAGATTATGTTCACATGTTTCTTGATATTGGCATATGAATCGATAGTGTGGTCAGCACTTTACCCAAAGGATGTCAGGTACCCATCAGAGCTGGGTGAACTCAGGTACGCCCTACAGCCTCAAGTCTTAACCGAGACCCGAACTCGAAACTTTCCGTTTAGCAACCAAAAGCTCCCACCAATTCAAAATTAATTACATATTTATTACATAGTAACATACATTCACTTCAACGCACATATATGGACACAGTAACATAACACACAAAAGACCAAACATCTGGACATAGTAACATAACACACACAAGACCATTATGTGGACCACAACACTAGCAAAACCACATATGTGAATGTAGTAACATAACACACACAACACCACACACCTGAACATAGTAACATAACACACACAACACCACATACCTGGACATAATAACATAACACACATAACACCATACTCACCTAATGGAACGCAAGGGACGCACGCAGCCCGTGGGGGGCAGATAGGTCCGGCACAGTCTTGGACGACACGACACACGGTGCCGGGTCGGCAGAGAACTCTGGCACACAAGCCGCTGACCGGAACCTGCCGCGTCGGTCAGTGTGGCCAGAAGCTGGAGGGGGAGATAAGTCGAGCAGATACGGTGAGTTTTTGGTTGCTGTGATGTTAGTGGGTCATAAGGGGAGATAACCTTATCCGACAAGCTCAGTTTGGTGGGTTGTGTAAAAGTAAGCTATCAGAAGGGAAATAACCGAATCTAATGGATTGTTTTAGGTACTAAAAATAATTTAACGTTTTCTTTTTTTTTCTTTTTTAAATTGAACCTAAAAGAATCACGAGTTCATTTTTATACTATTTGCTACGAATGATCTGTTTTACACTTTTGGTAAATCTAATATAGGGCGATAACGATATCGATTTATTTAAAATCGAAGTAGAATATTCTTTTTTTATCATTAAAATTAGGTCTTACGAATTTTATTAGATTTATTTCGAGTTATCTAAAACATAATTATATAGGAATTACCTAATCATAAAATTTGCATGAAAAAAATCATCAACCATTATCATTAATTTTTTTAAAAAATCATCAACTATTATTATTATTCATTTTAAAAAAAAAAACATCAACCTACCACCACCAGTACTGCTAGACTTGTGTAAATCATGATAGAATCAATCCTTGAAGACGGTATCGTTTCGTTGTACCCCAATTGAATTCGCCGAGCGTGCTGTCTTTTATACAAAATTGGAGTTAACCCTCTAAGCGCCGTGAGCCGATGACAGGAAGCACGACCCGGACGGGGCAGACGTCAGCCCGCCAAGAAGTGTCAACATTAACGGTAACAGAATTATTGATGAGGGGTGATGCACTACGAAGTTTGTGGAGTTTTTAAAAAAAAATTTTTTGAAAAATTCGTGGAACAAGAAATGAAGATTTAAAATGTGCGGATTAGATAGAGGTATGACAGCGATATGTTGAAGAGGGATGGTCGACTTGTATCCTTGTTTTTGTATTGCAAGACGGTGTCGATTTGACTTCTCTCTCTCTCTCTCTCTCTCTCTCTCTCTCTCTCTCTCTCTCTCTCTCTCACACACAAATGCACGTGTTCACACATGCACACAATCTAACACAAGCTAACACACATACGCACTCACACACACATAAAAAACACGTACACACAAACACACAGACTCGCACACAAAAACGCATGCACCAACATACACACACAAACAAGACTTCACACATACACACAAATAAGCACACACTCTAACACACATACATATACAAACAAATTAACAAATACATATGTATACCCTAACTCGTATAAACAGCAAACACGCATCTACAAACACACGCGCGCATGTATACTAACATATTACGCACACACACACACACACACACAAATGCCCCCACACACCCCAACACACCCAGACACGCATCTAAAACACACACAGTCACACACACACACAATAAAAAAACTATTTTTTTTATTCAAACAGTCCAAGGTCATCACTGATGTATGAGCGATTGGGAATTTCCTGAAAGTGTTGAGACGGCGACCTAATAAATCTGTCAATGTTGCTTGACAAGCGTAGCAGACGAGCAGTCGTGGTCACGTTGGCTCGGTTTAACCCGTCACGGATCTGACCTTGACGGAGGTGGAAGGAAACCTAACCCCCACCCCCGTCTCTTACCCCCCCCCCTCCTTTCTCTCATCGCCTCCACCACCACTACTACATTTAATAAAATTTTAATTTTTTTTTTTTAAACGTGAGGTGTGATTAGGTTTTTTGTTAGTTGTGAAGATGTTGAGTTGGCGAACAGTGGCGTTACTACCGTGTAACTAAGGTGGACTATGTCCACAGGTCCCCGGCTGATTTGTTACGCAAATGTTTGTGTATTTGAGGGTTGATATTGGGGAGGTCTTGAGTTTGTAGGCGATGAATATGTGAACTTGACGAATTAGGGTAGTCGGAGTGAGTTTTTAAATTGTCAAATTGAAATGGCCAGTCGGTGAAGTAGAGGTGCTTTGTATGTGTGAGTGTGAGTTGGTGTTGCGTGGTTGGTTTTTTTTTTCGCTACTCCTCGCAAATGTTTAAAACAAATAAAAAATAAAACAAAAAATAAACTACATGAACGCAATAACGTTCTAGTTCATTCTGGGATAGAGATGTCAGGACAAATGACCTAATATAGACCTGTGGTGAAGGACAAGACAGGACCCTATGGTACCACAGATAAGGAGGAGGAAGTGGCGCTGGTTTGGGCCTACATTGTGAAAGGCACATACAAATGTGACATGCCAGGCGCTTAAAAAGGGATCTTCAGAGGAGATGAGTGGGACCTACTGGGGAGATAAATGGAACTTTCAGGGGAGACGTGTTGGATCTTTAGCGGAGACGAAAAAGATTGCCCAAATCAGACTGGAAGTGGAGTCTTCTTGTTGAACTAAAGGCCGCAGGGATGTCTTGACTTGGGAGACGGCGAAACACAGTCGGGGACCTGGTAAAGTATAAGGTTATGGTTGAGGCCCTATGCTACACAAGGAGTAAAGATGATTTAAGTAAGTAAGAGAGATTGTTACCTAAATGACGGGTAAGTCTGCAGTTAACAGCTGCTGTCTGGAAGTATGGTTGTCTGGCCGTCTGGAAGTCTGGCTGTCTGGAAGTCTGGCTGTCTGGAAGTCTGGCTGTCTGGAAGTCTGGCTGTCTGGAAGTCTGGCCGTCTGGAAGTCTGGCCGTCTGGAAGTCTGGCTGTCTAGAAGTCTGGCTGTCTGGAAGTCTGGCTGTCTGGAAGTCTGGCTGTCTGGAAGTCTGGCTGTCTGGAAGTCTGGCTGTCTGGAAGTCTGGCTGTCTGGAAGTCTGGCTGTCTAGAAGTCTGGCTGTCTGGAAGTCTGGCTGTCTAGAAGTCTGGCTGTCTGGAAGTCTGGCTGTCTGGTTGTCTGGAAGTCTAGAAGTCTGGCTGTCTGGCTGTCTGTCTGGCTGTTTGGTTGAATTCTAGCTCTTTGGCTGTCGAGAGTCGAGCGAGCAATGTCACCACGTCGACGCATTTCACCCACATTATTTCCTACACATTTTTTCTTACACAAAAAAACACCATCCACTTTTCACATGGTATCTACGTTTACGGCACATTCATTCATTAAATTACGCAGGGTAATTAATTAGCTAAATAACTATGTAGCGGAAATAGTCTCGACCACAACACAGCAGGCTGGTGACGTTGAATTAGCTGGCCTTTTTCAAATCCATGTTCCTGGGTTACTCGTTGGGTCTAAAAGCTTCTTTGATGTACAGGGCTATAAATAATGTTTAAGGTAAACCAGTTGGCTTAACGGCTAAAATATTAAGGAACAAAAGACGTTTCAACACGAACGACCAAGACAATGAAATAACCGTAATTGAAATCCTATTTTCTAATCCTTATTGCAAGCTAACACATTAGCTCTCTAAATTAAACATGGGGGGGGGGGGGGGGGGTGAAACTGCGATTTCTTTATAACTCTTACTAAGCTAGAACAACTTTAGATATTTCGATATACATTAAGTATCTATTTTATATTACAGTTTACAAAGCAAAATCTTTAAGAAAAGAAAAACCATATCAAATATGATGAACGGAAAAAAGTCACAGGAAAAAAAACACAGAAAAAAAAGTTGCAGTTTTTGCTAGGAAAAAAGTCAAAAAAATAAAGTCACAGAAAAAAGTTACAACATTTTTTGTGACTTTTTGATTTAATTGTTGAGAATTTTAAAATTCTGGGTGTTTATTAATGTGGGTGGTGTTTTTTTTGGTAGCATATGTGCAAACTTTATAGCATTATGTTTTATAACAATAATAAGTAAAAACCTTTGAGATGATAATTTACTCAGCAACCTCAACTTGTGCTACGTATTTAGTTAAATACGCATTAGAATAAATCAACAACAACACAAATGTGGGCACGTCATTGCGTTTTTCAAGTTTTTTGCCGTAGGCTATTTCTTGGTCGGCTTCTCCTCAGTCGGCCTTGTCCGTCCATATTGTGTGTTTACTTTACGCGTAAATGACAGCCTTTGTACCTTGTCGGCTGTCTGTTTTGATCCTACGCTTTGCTATGTAATGAGCATAATAAATGTGGGCAGTGCATGTGGTTGAACTATTGTTGCGATGAGTTAGGGACAGCAAGTCACGTTAACAACAACTTTATGCCATTTCACGCTAATTTAAAGTTAGTATTTTAAAAACACGATAAAAACCTAGAAGGTTGGAACATTCTATTAAATTTTATTTGAATAACGGAATTAAAACCTACATACTTCGTACTAAACTTTTGTACGTGTGTTATAAATTAAATATTAGTTTACGCACATTATTTTGCATTTAATTAATCGTAAGTTAATATGCACTTTCTAAATATTTTAAACATAAAAGAATTAACAAATCCCTTTCAAATACATATTTGTGACTTTTTTCCTGTGACATTTTATCCTGTGACTTTTTTTTCCTGTTTTTTTTCCCTGTGACTTTTTTCCCTACTATCATAAAATATACTCTCTAAATTTGCTAAAATTCTGTTTCCAAATGTATTTATTTTTAAATGCCAAGCTGTGACGTCACGCTTTCTGAACCCACCCCAGTCACACATCGTCACAAGAGTCCATACCGGGGGGGGGGGTGTATAAAAAGTGTGAAATATGATTTTCAACAATAAAACTTCACTTGTGATCTCAAACTAAAAAAAAATAATTAAACAACATTTAATTGTACTACAGGTTTAATTACGAAATATTTTGTACTAATTACACAGCAGTATTTTTTATTTGGGGGGGGGGGGGGGGTGACACCATGAGGTGCTGCACAGGGCGACACCCAACCTAGCGACGCCACTGCTCTATCCCACACAGAACATACTAACAAAATGATGATCCATCAGCCCATTGGCTCGTGTGATACAGGCTACTACTTCCAATTTCCATAAAAACAAAACCATCTGCAGGTCGAAAATATTACCTAGGTGAAGACTAGCGAATTGTCTTCATTTATTACATGTTTTACACATTGTAAAAAGCATTCTGTAATTATTTCTAGTAGAACCATGTGAGAAAGAAGGGATGGGGTGGGGGTGGGGGAGGGTTGTGTGGAAGGGAAGGTATAGAAAGTGTGATAAAGCATTTTTAGCATTTTAGTTGGCAATAATTTAAAACATAATTCGCTTTTTAAAAAAACGTGTGAACAGGCTTTTTAAGTATGTGTCTAGGTTTTGAATAGTTTATGTCTATTTAGTGCGGCACTAAATTTTGACCTAAATGACATTTCCGGTTTTTGCAGACAACCAGCTTAGAATGTAGGTCAAACGTTGTTGCCATTAATCTTTTAGTTAACAGCATAATTTTTTCCACGAAATAACAAGCAAGTCAATCTATTTTTAGAAAAATGACCTAGATCTACTTTCTTATATTTTTGTATGCTTTGTTAAATGTTTTATCAATTGCCGTACTCAAGTATGGTATCTTGGTTAAGTATGAGATTAAGGTTTAATATCATTATTGTAGCATAACTTAGTATGGAGTCATTAGGGGATCGGGAAAAAAGTCTTAGGAAAAACATTAGAAAAAAGTCAGTTTTTGGTGTTTTTATGGTAGCATATTTCTAAACTTTAAAAACGTTATGATTTAAAAGAATAATATGTAAATATACTATAAGAAAATGTACAGATCATCCTCTTGTTAGGTTTTTAGTTAAATACGCGGTAGAAAAATTAAGTAGCCTATAAAAGCAATTTAGGCACATCATTCTTATTTGCATTTTTTTTCTGTCGTAGGCCTTTTCTTTGTCGGCTTCTCCTCAATCAACATTTTCAATGTTTCAATCAAACGTGTGTTGTTGACGTTTTGCTTCAAATGACAGCCTTTGTACCGTGTCGTCTTTCTGTTTTGAAATTATGCTTTATTACGTAATGAACATGATAATTGTGGGCAGCACAGGCGGTTGAACTAATGATGCGATGTATTATGGACAGAAAGTCACATTAACTACGTTTTTATGCGAATCCACACTAATTTAAAGTTAGTATTTAAAAAAAAACCACGATGAAAACCTTGAAGGTTGAAACATTCTAATATATTCTATTAAATATTGTATGTATAACACAATTAAAAACCTACAAACTTCATACTAAAAATTTTTTTTACATGTCTTATAAATATTACTACACATATACAACCTACGCACCATGTATACATTTAATTGATCGTAAGTTGATTTGCACTTTCTGGATATTTAATATATAAAAAAAATTCATAAAAAACGTTTTAATAACAAGCTTTTATGTAATAATGCACTAAAAAGTAGAAAATAAATTATAGACTACTATTTAAATAACTTTAAAGAAAAGCGTGGGTCACTTTAGTATCTATTGGATACCTTTACTAATGTTAAGGAAGACACCCACGCTTTTCTTTATAGTTATTTAAATAGTAGTCTATAATTTATTTTCTACTTTTTAGTGCATTATTACATAAAAGCTTGTTATTAAAACGTTTTTTATCAATTTTTTTTTCAGTACTTTACATGTTTTATTTACGAGTTACATGACTAAAAACCATTGCGCGCCTAATGAACGTGATGGCGCAGCTAATGAGCGTGATGACGCGTGTGGTGTGGTTGGATAGACATGCCTACTAATTCGGTCCAAATTTTAATTAAGTCATAAAAATGAATTAGGCATCCAATTAAGTCAAATTTAATTTCAGATTGCATTGTCTTCATGTCTTGACCCACGTGCCAACTGTGAATCGTATCGGTCAAGTAGAAGTGACCGAATTTTCACTCCGGCGTTTCGATCTAGACAGACTGACGACTGACGACAGAGGAAGCAAGTTGAATAAAAGCTTGTAAAAAGTAGTAATAAATTCCATGCAAATAGACAATTGTGACATAATTTCCTGATTTTTTTGTGTTTTTTCCCTGTGACTTTTCCCCTTTACAATCTAGTCATAATGGAATAGTATAATCTGATGTAATTCAATTATATGACTGTTTTGTCAAATTAGACAGTTTTTTTTATCAACGTTTGTTATGGTGTGTTTTATAGTTTGTTTAGAGATAAATTATAACTAAACTAAACTTCAAGTTATCTTGTATTCGTTTGTGTTTTTGTAGCATTTATCTTACTTAAAGACCCTCAGACGCGTAGCGACCCTTCCCGGCGCCCGGGGACAAACTTTCAATTTAGCACCCCCCTCGGGAGCACATTTTTAATTTGCACCCCCCCCTCCTCAAACTGCTAAAATACAGCTAAATTGACATTTTAATTTATTTTTACAACCCATTTTGGCGCCCCCTAAGGTCTGCGCCCGGGGACATATGTACCCCCCCCCCCCCCATCTCTACGCCTCTGAAGACCCTGCTGGGCATGTGTTGTACCCGAGTCCGATAATACCATAATAATAAGATCTTCTGTTTCAGGTTACCGATAGTAAACTAACGATTGATCAAAATAACTGATGCCAATACTAATCAAACCTCCTAACCATAACGTATAGCCATATTTCTTACCTTAACGTTACACCTGATAATAACATAGTACCACCGTCTCACACACCTATTCTGAGAAGAGTCTGTAGCAGAGTTTCTTCTGGGCATCTCTTCAGGGGGGGGGGAAGTAGACATGACGCCCCCCCCCCCCCCCCCCCCGAAGAAAGTCTACAGCCCCCCGAACGAAATGGAATTTATACAGAAAATATACACTTTTAACAGTGTGTGTCCGTCGTCCCCCGTCCCCCCCCCCCCCGCCCCCCCCCCCCCCTCCGCAAAATTTTAGTCCGGCCCCACCCCCGAAATTTCAAGTTTACCCCAGGAGAAAAAAGTCTGAAAGAAACACTGGTCCGTAGTAGGACAGTACTGAATCACTTGTATCATTAATACTTCGATCCTGTATAAATTATATTTAACCTTTCCTTGCTTATTGCAAGTGCTGTGTTGTTGTTGTTGTTTTTTTTTTTTTGAGCTCTTTTAAAAGATTATATATCCAAATCGTGTTAGATCCTTGGCAATATGTTTTCAAGCTTTGATTGTAATAGAATTTTTAACTCTTTGTTTCTTCTTCTTTTTAGTATTTTGTGTATTTGAAGAATCATACAACAAGACCAACGTCTTGATGAACTTCACGGTCGACTCCAGATTTGCTAAATTAATATTTTTTTGACATTTTTTGTCACTTTTTTTTGCTATGACTTTTCCTATGATTTTTTTTCCCGTAGTTTTTTTTCCTGTAGTTTTATTTTCCCCATCGCCCACCTACCATATTATTGTCCACTGTCAGTAGAATTTTTAAAAATAATTAAAAAAAAACAAAACAACAAAAAACAAAAACATTAAATTTGGAACCAAATTTTTTAATCAGTTCTCGTTAATGAAACTGCTGCCGTTAAGGCCAAGGGATTAATGGGATTAATGGGATTATAAACCGGCCGACACTCGTATCTCTCGGTGCACGGCGGGACATCAAAAGGACAGATGAACACGTGCTGACAGGATGTGCCGAACGGACACTGGACGCCGCAGTGACTGACGGGACAGATACGGTGGTGGCTGATGGCGGGCTGTCCGAAGAGGGGGTTGCCGTAGCAACAGGTGCCGTGGCCGAAGCCGTCAGATACACAGTGGGTGTTGAATGGACATTCGCCGGGGATGTGTGGGTAGCATTTGCGGGCGTGGATGGACCTGTGGTCATGGGGGGAAAACAAAATAGAAAATTTAAAAGGGTTTGTTTTTTAATTTGTAAACATAAATTAGGCTCTAGAAAATCACAATTGGTCCTGCTAAAGATAATATATTTTTCTTCATAAGAATAGTGGAGTGGTGGTGGTGTAGGGTGGGGGGATGATCCCCACCCTACCGTTGAAAAGTAAACACAGTTACAAACGTGTTTTTAGTCTCGGACTGACGTCCTGAGTTCGAGTCCACCCAGCTCTGATGGGTACCTAACATATGTTGGGGAAATAAAATGCAGCTGGCATTGTTCTGACCACACTATCCCTTCATAATATGTCGAGGTCATAGAAACAGGTCAACTCTACTTCACTTGCTCCGTCAGGTTCGAAAACTGTACTTTACTTTTGCCTTTCAACTTCCATCCTCAAAGGCACAAAAAGATCATATTTGGACCTCGGAATAAAATGTTCGGACCCCTGAATATACCCCTTAACTACATTAAAAATAGCAACAACTAAAAGGATTATGTTACCAAGCCGAATATCGTTACCATATCGACTGTTATAAAGTCCAATTGAAGAATTATAAAGAGACCAAAACCCCAAATAATCTGCAACATGAGTCGGCCTAACAACATAAATAAATTAATGAATTTTAACTTTACCAAGGTGAGTGGGCGTTTCCTACAAGAACTGCATGCAAGAAATTGTGTCTGTGACACACGGCATCGGCACCTGGACATGAAGACAAAAACATGTTCAGTTCTCCAAATCTAAATATCTAACAATGGTCATACGTAGTGGCGTCGCTAGGTCGGGTGTCACCCAGGGGGAAACATAGAGATGAGGACAAGACAAAATATGTTAAGTTATTCAAACCTTTTATATTTAACAATGAGGTCGTACGTATTAATTTTCTTAACTAAATATTTATAAACATAGTTTGCTGATAATTCTGTTTTGGTATGGCTAAAATAGTTGTTTGCTAAAATAGGAAAAAGATAAACGAATTTTGTTTAACACTGGAATGGCGCTAAACTTGACGCCCCAAGGAAAAAGAGAGCAGTAAGGTCAAGGGAGATGTGGAAACGCATCGCGGGGAAGCAGCTGGCAGAGGCAGGACTGTCATGGGGGACTGCCAGGAAAATTGCCCGTAACCGACAAACGTGGAGGGATTTTTCTGTGGCGGACCCATGTGTCTTTGGCACAAAAAGGAAAAGATGATGATGATAATTAGTGTATGGGACGGCGTGGTCGAGTGGTAGGGCATCGACTGCTGGCTCGGAAGTCGCTAGGTAGGATCTCCGCCCAGATTCTGGACCGCAGGACCTCCCTGAGCCCACCCAGTTCAGATGGGTACCTGACTCACATTGGGGAAAATAGAGGTAAATGGGCATAGCGCTGACCTCTCCAAGTCGAGTCAAGAAACTGTGAACTCTACTCCATCATTTCAATGGATCGCTCGGTCTGAAAGGGAGAATTCACCCACCGGGACCTTTTACCTGGGGGATGGGGGGGGGGGGGGGGAAGGGTGCACCAGGATTTATCCAAGTAGACCGGCGGGTCAGTGGGACGTTGTCAAACTGTGATTAAAATTGTTATATGGCTTTAACACGTTGTTAAATTAACACGAGTAGGCAGATTTTTTTTCTTTTTAATTTATCACTGTGGTGTCACCTCCTATTAAATTAGATTGGTGTCATCTGGTGCGCCCCCCCCCCCCCCCCCCGCGCACGCTTACGATAGCAAGACAGTTTTAAGACAGGTTTAAGACCTGCTCTCAGACAGGACGAGACCTTACCGTGGGGCACACAAGGCACACAGGCGGCGTGTGGGGGGCAGTGGTGCCCAGCACACGTCTGCAGAATCCTACACACACTGCCGTGTGGGCAGGAGTGTGTAGTACACAGGCTGTCCACTGGGCGGCTCATCGTTACTATGAAAACCTGTCACAAACAGAGATATATCTTTACATTGGTCCTATTGTTTTAAGTTTTACATGACTGCTAAGTCCGTTCCTATTTAAAGAAATGAAACATTTAAGATTTAAGGCAAACATTTAATAGATTTTTTTTTAAATTGAAAAAAATTTCCTCTCGTTCTTGAAGATCAACTTAGATGAAGTAGAGTTTATCTGTTTCGCGGACATGATAGATGAAAACATAATTAACCAGCGCAACAACCAAACGCCCATAACTTCCCCACTACTTGGCCCACTATGGTAACCAGTTTTTAATTTATGTCTCGTTCAGTACACCCGTACAATGTTAATTTTATTTTAAATCTGAAAATAGCGTTTATTATTTTTGGGGTCTATAGAGGCCTGGATATCTCAATCGAATTATATCCTTAGTTTTTTCAAGATTGCGGTTTTCTATAGGCCGAAGATTATCACAATCTTTTCCCGTTCGTGCCCAAGACACATGGGGCAGATGAAGTAGAGTTCATCTGTTTCAGTGACAGCAGCTTATAGGGGGATGGTATGGTCAGCACTGTGTCCAGCCACCTTTGTTTCCCTAACGTGAGTCAGGTACCCACCACAGCTGGGCGGACTCAGGAACGTCCTACAAACTCAAGCCCCGGGATCCGAACTCGAGACTTTCGGGTTTGCAGTCTAGCGCTCTACCGCTCAGCCTACGTTTATGGTCATTTGAGTCAAATCTTCCTTGAACCACATATATGAAAATTCTATATATATAATTCTCTTCTGGGATCAGTTAGAAAACAAGCTGCAAGCGCCTCCTTGCAGTCCCCTCTCTTTCTCTCTATCACTATCACTACCACCCCCACCCCACCCCCACATGATCTGGTGAGCGGTGTTCACTCTGTTTACATTTTACAATCATAGAGACGGGTTTGGTGACGGCTATTAGGGGCAGATAATTTAGTTTGAAACGATTTTAAACTTAGAGGAGGTAACTAAGAGGAGGCTGCTTTCACGTGGGGGGGGGGGGTGTTAGTGTTTTTAAGCAAATATTTTCAATGGCAGCATTGGTACTGTCGAATTCACAAATTATAAATTACTGAAAAGTAGAGAAAAAAAACTAAATAGCGGCGTATGATACGCAGCGGGTCGGCTCGTCTTATATAAAATGCAAAACTTAGAACCATTTATCTCTAGGATTATAGTATGTAAAACTTTAAACTTGAATACGAAGACTGTGGCTCAAGAAATATGTACAAGCTATAACTGTAATTAATAATGATTTGATGTTGGCATATCACTATGTAAGGATAGGAAATATGTTTTTGATACAGTAAATAAGACTTACAACAACGGCAGCGAAAAGTACTTGGCTTGTAACACCCATTGTGTTTGTTAAATGTCGGTATCTGTGAAACTGCTGCAACTCGACTGCTAGCGACTGTGTCACTTTACAGGAAAACTAACACATTTATACAGACAGAAATGTACTTGAGATAATTAATAGGGCCCTTTACTTGTACTTACTTAAGACATAATGACAATACAGTAATACCCATTAATTATTACAAACGGAAGAAATTTTTTTTTACAAACTGTTTGTACTCTGTGTCCTTGAAGATAGATAAAATTTAAATTTTAAAAAATATATACTTTAGCAGGCAGCGACTTAAGTATATGCGTGTACTATAAACGTATTCTAAATTTAGAGTGTTTTATAGCAGTGGTTCTTAACCTGGGTTTTAATGAACCCCAGGGGTTCGGTGAGTCAGTCTCAAGGGGGTTCGGCGGAGGTGAAGACACAACACACCAGACTCATATAATTCACAATCGGATTTTGTCAGTGCGGACGATAAAACTATTTATCAAGGGTTCGATGGATGCGTTTATGAAACTGGTTTAATACTTTCATAAAGGTAAAGAACCACTGTCTTAGAGTATTAGGTCAAGTTTGACGAATGACAACATCCACAACGAAGAAAAGAAAAAAAAAACGTCGGATTCAACCTGTACATATATCATCCTTTTACTCAGCCAACCTGTCGAAATTCAACTTTTGAGTTTTTTATCACGAATTCAGGACGGAACGTCCTTGAAAATACATGGTCGCCTGTTCTAAATATAGCAGGCTACCTTCGTAATTTACGGTAAAAGTGTGACTACTATTGATGGGGGATTGTGTCTATACATCCATTAGAAGAACGGAAACAGGGATAATAATTTGGGTTTTTACGTGTTAGAAAAGGAACAAAATTTGTTATTTTGTATATATGAATATATTATGAATTTAGTCGTGTTGGATTGTGACATTTTGTCCCTTAGTCGTTGGTCATTAGAATAAATCACATTTTAATACGTTGTCCTGTTGCATGAGGAAGAAAAAAAAATCAAATGTGATTGTACTCTTTTATAATAAAAACTAATTACTTTTTAAATATATTTTTACTATACAAGCTTCAAATTTAAATTTGCACCAAGGCCATGTTATTACACAAATCATTAGCAGCTATTAAAGTTTAATTAATGCATCATTTTTAAATTTCAAGAACAATTTTCTGGTGTCTTGAATATAACATGGGATGGTAAAAATGTATTTAAAACACTATTTCTGAAATATATTATAAAAATTAGTACTACAATTAATACATGTTATGCTTAAATATATTTTAATGTGGAATATTTCTAGAAGAAAAAAATTATGTTGGTGAACTACTTGTAGTTTATTGATGTACTTTTACGTTTGAGGCGTTTTTTTTTTTTTGTTGATGTGAGATCTGAGCTTAACAAAGAATTTTAAGTTAATTAATTAGGGGTGAATGAGGTGTTATGGTAATGGCGTGTAAGGTTTATTTCATCAGTAGGAAACGTTTACAAGAAACTTTCGCAAACAAATCTCACTCTAAAACTTTTTACTTCAACTTTTCAAAACAATTTATGAACATTAATATGTAGTAGGTGTATAACGACAAAATATAGCTCCATCGTCTAGCGAACATGGTAATATAACTATGCGTAGATCTATCGATGTATTTCTAGCTGAAATAGTATTGTCATTTTTCTCTCTATACACGGGATACGGTGTTTGTGGAATTGACATTCATGATGTTCAACCAACACTGCCCACTCTGTTGATGTGACTTTCATGATGTTCAACCAACACTGCCCACTCTGTTAATGTGACATTCATGATGTTCAACCAACACTCCCACTTTGTTGATCTGACATTCATGATGTTCAACCAACACTGCCCCCTATGTTGATCTGACATTCATGATGTTCAACCAACACTGCCCACTCTGTTAATGTGACATTCATGATGTTCAACCAACACTGCCCACTCTGTTGATGTGACTTTCATGATGTTCAACCAACACTGCCCACTCTGTTAATGTGACATTCATGATGTTCAACCAACACTCCCACTTTGTTGATCTGACATTCATGATGTTCAACCAACACTACCCACTTTGTTGATGTGACATTCATGATGTTCAACCAACCCTGCCCATTCTGTTGATGTGAAATTCATGATGTTCAACCAACACTGCCCACTCTGTTGATGTGACATTCATGATGTTCAACAACCAACACTACCCATTCTGTTGATGCGACATTCATGATGTTCAACCAACGCTGCCCAGTCTTTAATGTGACATTCATGATGTTCAACCAACACTGCCCACTTTGATGATGTGACATTCATGATGTTCAACCAACACTGCCCACTTTGATGATGTGACATTTATGATGTTCAACCAACACTGCCCACTTTGATGATGTGACATAATACTGTTGAAGTGACATTCATGATGTTCAACCAACACTGCCCACTCTGTTGATGTGACATTCATGATGTTCAACCAACGCTGCCCACTCTGTTGATGTGACATTTATAACAATTAGCTGAAAATTCCCACTCTCTAGATATAGTTTTGATGACATTATTGTCACGTAGAGTGAGCAGGTCTTGTTTTCAGTGTCTTTATTACATTGAACATGTCTTGCTTTAAGTGTCTTAATACATGGAGCAGATTTTGCTTGCAGTGTCTTAATTACAGTGGGCGTGTCTTTATTACAGTGGGCGTATCTTTATTACAGTGAGCATGTCTTGTTTTCAGTGTCTTATTACAGTAAGCATGTCTTGTTTTCAGTGTCTTATTACAGTGGGCGTGTCTTTATTACAGTGGGCGTATCTTTATTACAGTGAGCATGTCTTGTTTACAGTGTCTTATTACAGTAAGCATGTCTTGTTTTCAGTGTCTTATTACAGTGGGCGTGTCTTTATTACAGTAGGCGTGTCTTTATTACAGTGGGCATATCTTTATTACGGTGAGCATGTCTTGTTTTCAATGTCTTATTACAGTAAGCATGTCTTGTTTTCAGTGTCTTATTACAGTAAGCATGTCTTGTTTTCAGTGTCTTATTACAGTGAGCATGTCTTGTTTTTAATGTCTTATTAAAGTGGGCGTGTCTTTATTACAGTGGGCGTATCTTTATTACAGTGAGCATGTCTTGTTTACAGTGTCTTATTACAGTAAGCATGTCTTGTTTTCAGTGTCTTATTACAGTGGGCGTGTCTTTATTACAGTAGGCGTGTCTTTATTACAGTGGGCATATCTTTATTACGGTGAGCATGTCTTGTTTTCAATGTCTTATTACAGTGGGCGTGTCTTTATTACATTGAGCATGTTTTGTTTTCAGTGTCTTTATTACAGTAGGCGTGTCGTGTTTTCAGCGTTTTATTACAGTGGGCGTGTTTTTATTACAGTGGGCGTGTCTTGTTTTCATTGTCTTTATTACAGTGTGCGTTTCTTGTTTTTATTGTCTTTATGACAGTGAGCATGTCTTTATGACAGTGAGCATGTCTTGTTTTCAGTGTCTTTATATAAGTGAGCATGGTTGTTATTCTTCATTCTAAATTGTAATATTAGACTGGATTTCCTTAACACAATCAAGTATTACGTGTAAGCCTGTGTTGTGCGCTATATGGCCGGTTCACTCCGATTTCAGCCTGCTTTTCTTTTTGGATTTGCTTCCGTAGCTTTTGTCCATCCAAGAACAAACTACAAGGCGGCAGTTGTTATATTTTTGAGTTGTCACCTTAGATGATTAGTTGTTTCCAGCTATTGAGCCTCATTTGCCCGAGGGTTTGAACTCAAGACATTTCGGTTTAATAACCATAAGCTTTACCAACCCCACCACGCCGACCCCCAATATATATATATATATATATAAATATATATATATATATATAAATATATATATAAATATATATATATATATATATATATATATATATATATATATATATATATATATATATATATATATATATATATATATATATATATATAAGAAACCAATAATTAAAAAAAAGACATGTATTAATAGTGATTATTTTTTTAATCAGTTGTTGTAAGCGCAACAGCGGCTGATAACGCCAGTGGATTCAGTGGATTATGGATTGGCCGACATTCGTAGCGGTCAAAACATGGCGGGACAAAAGGACAGATGGTCACTCGTTGGCAGGATGTCCCGAACGGACATTGGACGCCGCAGTGGCTGACGGGACAGACTGGGTGGTGGCTGATGGCGGGCTGTCCGAAGAGGGGGTTGCCATAGCAACAGGTGCCGTGTCCGAGGCCGTCTGGTACACAGTGGGTGTTGATGGGACACTGGCCTGGGATGTGTGGGTAGCATTTGCGCTCTTGCAAGGTCCTGTGGGGAAAAGTTTAGAATTTTTAAAATATATTTTAAACATAGTCGTTCTAGTAGTACAATGTTTTATGCAACAATTTTTAAAAGTGTCTTAAAGTTTTGAGGGATCTTGTACATATTATATAACAAAGAAATCCGGGCATTTTCACCCACCTAGCCATATACCATATCCATACACCACATAAATCATACGAGTAAATAAATGGAGATGGATTAGTCTTGTGTTGATAAAGTAAGAAAAATGTATTTAAAAAATAACCGTTGGGCAATTTCAATCTAGAATAGAAAGGCTATGTTCGGTTGGTTTATTTAGTTTTAATTGATCTTTATCATATTGTATTAAACAACAACTCTAAGTATTTTGTCACACCCACCCCATACAACATTTCCATTGACAGCATTGAAAACGACATCACTCACTTCTTTGTACATCCCTTACAGAACGGAATCCGTCCCAGAACGGAATTCCCCCCCCCCCACCCCCCCCCCCCCCCCCGAAAAAAATCCTTACAGAATGATGTCGTTTAAAAAAAATTGCATTCAGATTGGACACGTGACAAGTAACCAGCCTCTTTTTTTTTATCGTGGTCATGACTTTAAACCGTTATCCCTACTGTAAAAGTTGGATTTGAATTTTAGCACAACGTAGGTATTGTAAGTATACTCAGTTCAAATCTTTACGACCTGAGGCTAAAATTTTAACGGACGATAATTTATTCGTTTCCTCATCATGATGGTTGAGGCATTTTAAATATATTCTTTTATTTTATTTTTTCTTACCTCACCTGTAAGTTCTTATTAAGGTAAATTAAAAAAAAGTATTTGTAAGTTCTACTTACCAAGGCTCGTGAGCAATGCCTATAAGAACTGCATGCAAGAAGTTATGTCTGTGACAAACTGGGTCCACACCTAGATATCGAGAACATAAAATAACATTTGGACCAAATTTTCTAAGTTGTACTAGCTAGTAAAGTAAAAAACGAATGTATCCTTAGAATCTTTTTTTATGTGACCTTGACGTACGTAGGGATGGTGTGGTCAGCACGATACCCAGCCGCCTTTACTTGCCCTAATGTGAGCCAGTACACCCATCAACAGTGTTGGGTGGATTCAGCGATGTCGTAGGGACTCGAGCGTGGGATCCGAAATCGAAATTTTTGGGTTAGCACTCAAACGCTCTACCCTTCAACCAAACCGTCCCACTACTTTGACAAGTACAAGATAATCTCAAGATAGCTATTTAACCAACTTGAACGTGCACAGTCGTCAAAATATTAAATAAACAAACCAACACACATTCAAGGACAGGTCTGAGTAGAACTCATCATGGGGGGGGGGGGAAGGGGGCGCACACGGTGGACAGTCGCCAAAATTTTAATAAACAAACCAACACACATTGAATAATAGGACTGAGTAGAACTCACCGTGGGGAGCACACGGCACACAGGCGGCGTGTGGTGGACACAGGTGTCCGGCACACACGTGCAGAATCCTACATACCAGGCCGTGGGGGCAGGTGTGTGTTGTACACAGACTGTCCACGGGACGGGTCATCGTTGCCATGACAACCTAACATGATAAGAAGAGAGACATCGTTAAAAATATATCAATATGCTTTGACATTATTATTTTGGGGGCGGTATAGCGCTAGACTGCTACCCCGAAAGTGTTGAGTTTGAATTCGGGGTGCAAGTCAGTGGAACGTCCCCTGAGTCTACCCAGCTCTGATGGGTACCTAACTCATGTTAAGGAAAGCAAAGGCGGCTGGACATAGTGATGAGCACATCATCCCTTCATAAGCCGTGGTAAAGAAACGTATAAACTCTACTTCATCAATCCAATATATCGTTATGTCTAGAGATGAACCTTTACTTAGTACATTATTATTAAATCATGGCAAAATGTAAATATATGAGTCAACTAATTGTAGTCAAAACACAAATGATTGAGTATATTATATATATATATATATATATATATATATATATATATATATATATATATATATATATATATATATATATATATATATATATATGTATATATATATATATATATATATGTCGTTTTCGTCCTACTTTACTTGTGTACCAGAATTCTTAACTTACGACGATGGCAACCAAAATGACGTGACCAGCTAGACCCATTGCAGATATGATCTATACAGCGGCGAATAAAGCTTTAGCTAGGAGTGAAGCTGTCTGTAGCTAGCTGTTAGTCACCAATGGCTGTCTGTAACTCGATGTGAAGCACCAGCAGCTGTCTGTGAAACACTTGTGACTAGTTGCGCCAGAGTCCCGCCGTGCTACTTACAGTACCAACAGGAAAGCGGTGCAACTTTTTATAAGGACCGAGAAGTACTCCAAGACAATTAATAGGGGCAATTACTCGTCTCGACAACGACATGATGACAAGACTATAAGCCTAATTCTGTAGCGGAAGACATTTTTTAATGCATATTAAAATATAGTTCGTCCTTGATGATGCAGGAAATATATTTTTTATGCATAAGAAATTTGGTTTGTCCTTGATAATGGAACAAATATATTCTGTATACTTAATTTATTTTAAGAAACAATAAAGAAAATAAATGGTTTATTACTTAATTCATGATATAGTTTATGCACCGGTACTCAAATCAAAATATAGTCTAAGCACAATAATAATGATTCAGAAAAAGTGTTAGATCTATTACTTCTATATTCTATTCAAAATATCACACCACTCTGGACGATGAAAAACAAGTTGTAAAGATCCGGAAATTGCATTAATTAAATAATTTTATTGATGAATGCTACGTATAAGTACATATAAAATCCCCACACCTGCCCGTCCATTCTTTTAATACAAAAACCTTCTCCTCCCCATCCCACGCCGTTACCTTCAACATCTTTTTAAAAAAAATGAACTCTCAAGCATTTATCATTGTACACTTCTCTGACCTAAAATATTCTAATTTTTCTGTAACAAATCTTGGACGGAACGTCCTTGAGATTTAAACGTCGCAGTTTCTTAAAAAAAAAATGACACCACCAGCACAATTTACAGATGCCGCGTTGTTTTAACTACTGTCATTGACGGGGTTTTAGTTTTACTTGCGCTAAAAGACGCAAAAGTGACGGGTGGCGTATTAATAGGGTCAGCGAAACGGTCCGTGTCCCGGGCGCACTAGTTCACACTAAGGCTTATCCCCCCGGCTTATCTTACTTTGTTAAATGTTATATGCCTCACACATACGTATCGTAAATCAGCCGCGTCATCAGAAATGTAAAAGTCACACAGAACTGTATTAAAATTTAAAACAAAAAAAATGTTTAGTTTTGCAGATTTTTTTTTGAAGGTGCTTTGATGTCATCCTTAAATGACGTCACGGCTTTTTTTTTGCGCTTTTTACCCCTTCACCCCTCCGTCACACATTGTCACAAAAAGCCAGCCCCCCCCCCCCCCCAAAGTGACGTCACACCTCAGCCTACAATCCCCCCTCCCCTTTTAAAAATTTTTAAACATCGATTTCTTTCTTAAAAATACTGACTGAGCTTGGTCAACATAAAGTATATCGATCCATTTCTATTACAATTTACTAACAATAGTTTTTCTATAACGCAAAATGCCGGTTAAAATTCACTTTCTAACCGTACTTTTTTTAAAATGCAAACGTGTCATCACATTGTCTGGGCCCTCCTCTTCTCCCCCCCCCCCTATCATAAAAAATTGTCACGAAAATACCACCCTCCCCATAGGTGTGACCCCCACCCCACCCCTAAATGAATCACCCCAGCCTACAACCCATCCCCCCCCCCTTTCAAAATTGCTGATTTTGTTTTTGTAAGACATCGATTTTCTTTCTAAAATATTTACTGAGCACAGTGTGTAGTGTTGATTTTAGATCTATTGTTAACGAAACTGTCACATGTAACATGTTCACACACTAACACAAACGTAATTAAACTTACATTTATTTTCAAATGATGTACAATTAAAATATTGTTAAAGTTTAAAAAAAAACAACACTTAAAGTTTAGTGTAAGGAAAATAACGGACACAAATATTTAGCACACAGCACATGTATTTATCATCATAGGCATGTACACATGAAGTTTTTGTTGATGAGCTATCAGTTGCCAGATTATTTTTGGGGGTCGTCCATAAATGACGTCACACTCGTAGAGAGAAGGGGGAGTCTGTAATTTTGTGACGGTGTGTCTTGAGGGGGAGGGGGAGGAGGGGGTTCAGATAGTGTGACGTCAATTTTTGCATTTTAAAAAAAGCAATATTAGAAAACGGGTTTTAGCCGTTATTTCGCGTTTTAGAAAACTGTTTAAATAAATTGTAATAGGAATTAATTAAAATACTCTATGATGACAGAGTTATGACAAGATTTTGGAAAAATATCGATGTTTTAAGAAAAATTCAACATCAATTTTGAGGGGAGTTGTAGGCTGAGGTGTGACGTCATTTTAAGGGGAGGTGTCTGGCTTTTTTTGTGACGACGTGTGACGGAGGGGAGGGGGGGGGGGGTAAAAATCGTCAAAAAAAAAGCTTGATGTCATTTATGGATGACCCCTTTCTGGATTTTAGAATAATAATTCAATACCTAGCCTGTTGGCTACACTTGAATTATATTAAAATCAATGAGTATTTTATCTAAATTGAAACATGTAAATTAGTACTTTAATTTTAATTTTAAAAATTCCATTAGAATATGCATTTTTATTTTTAAAAATATATATTGTTGTTAAGTGAACCAAAATAAGTAGGCCTATATTTGATTTCGTCTCTGTATTTTATTTCTTAGTGCGCCAATTTGCTAAAACTGGATTAAAATAAAACTATCCTTGCACCTTGGAGTCTATCACGGCCTTGTGTGTAGTACAACGTGTAGTTTACTGGTAGATGTTGCAGTCGTACCCTCCACACTCTGTCCTGCAACATTTGAGGATCCCCGGGCAGTCGTAATCGTTACGGCAGTAGTTGACTGCGGGCGGGCAGTGAGGGGGGATGTAGGGTGGGACAAGGGGACAGAAGCCAGGCTTGCCCAGCACTGGGCAGACGGGGTCGCGGTTGATGGCTGGTAACCCCGGGGGAGGTCGTCTGTAGCAGCAGTTGCCGGATCCGGCACCGTCAGGAACACAGGCAGAACCGTACGGGCAGCTGTTGGGGTGGTAGGGGACGCATTTACGTTCTAGCAAAGCTCTGGGGAAGAGAACACATTTGTTGTGAGCATAAAGAGGGGTTGGGAGAAGACATTGTTAATCAAATAGTAATGTAAACACATAGTATTATAATGCAGCGCTGAAGGTAGAAATTGATAGATAATAAAATTCTGTATTTTCTGGGACTTTTTTAAACAAAGTTTGTTGTAAACATGAAGAGCAAAGTTTCTTCCAGACATCTCTTCGGGGGAAGGGGGGGGGGGGGCAAAAAAGTCTACCGCCCGCCTCCCCGAATGAAATGGAATTTATATAGAAAATATATACTTTTAACAGTGTCCGCACCCCCCCCCCCCCCCCCCGAAAATTTCAAGTGCCCCCTCCCCCCCCCCCCCCCCCCCCGAGAAAAAAGTCTGGAAGAAAAACTGATGAAGAGGTGGTTGTAGACAGACATTGTTAATGAAATTGTAATGTAAACTTTGAATATTATTACAATGCCGAAGGTAGGCATATGTACGTTTTGAAATACCAGTAAAGACATGGTTTAAAGTGTGTTGTAAATGAATGAAAAGAACAAAACCAATATATTTTTTTGGAAATACGGATTTCGTTCTAAATAGGGCGTGTTATTTTTGGTAGCTTATGCCCTAGTAAGCGGCAGATTTCTTTTAAATATGTAAATAGTTGCGGCGTAAGTGATTCCGCATTGGTTCCAAAAACTTAATTTAAATTAATCCCGTTCTGAGAGTGCCAGACGCACCGTGAAGCAGTTTAGAATTCTACAACACAAATCTTCTAATTGGCTGTACAATGTCTATTTAGCCAGAATCCAGCCAATATTTAAATCCCATCGACGTACTAACCAAGCTACTACAATTGTAAACATCTGTACAGAATTAACAAGGGGCAGTTTACATGGGCGGCTGCTGAAGTAACTACCCCTCTCAACCCGCCCATGTTAACTTAAGTTCTAGCATTATCTCACCTTACCCCTATGAACCCGCCCATGTTAACTTAAGCGCTACAATTATCTCACCTTACCCCTATAAATCTCGCCCATGTTAACTTAAGCGCTACAATTATCTAACCTTACCCCTATGAACCAGCCCATGTTAACTTAAGTGCTACAATTATCTCACCTTACCCCTCTGAACCCGCCCATGTTAACTTAAGTGCTACAATTATCTCACCTAACCCCTCTGAACCCGCCCATGTTAACTTAAGCGCTACAATTATCTCACCTTACCCCTCTGAACCCGCCCATGTTAACTTAAGCGATACAATTATCTCACCTTACCCCTATGAACCCGCCCATGTTAACTTAAGCGCTACAATTATCTCACCTTACCCCTATAAATCTCGCCCATGTTAACTTAAGCGCTACAATTATCTCACCTTACCCCTCTGAACCCGCCCATGTTAACTTAAGTGCTACAATTATCTCACCTTACCCCTATAAATCTCGCCCATGTTAACTTAAGCGATACAATTATCTCACCTTACCCCTATAAATCTCGCCCATGTTAACTTAAGCGATACAATTATCTCACCTTACCCCTATAAATCTCGCCCATGTTAACTTAAGCGCTACAATTATCTCACCTTACCCCTATAAATCTCGCCCATGTTAACTTAAGCGCTACAATTATCTCACCTTACCCCTATAAATCTCGCCCATGTTAACTTAAGCGCTACAATTATCTCACCTTACCCCTATAAATCTCGCCCATGTTAACTTAAGTGCTACAATTATCTCACCTTACCCCTCTGAACCCGCCCATGTTAACTTAAGCGCTACAATTATCTCACCTTACCCCTATAAATCTCGCCCATGTTAACTTAAGCGCTACAATTATCTCACCTTACCCCTATGAACCCGCCCATGTTAACTTAAGCGCTACAATTATCTCACCTTACCCCTATAAATCTCGCCCATGTTAACTTAAGCGCTACAATTATCTCACCTTACCCCTATGAACCCGCCCATGTTAACTTAAGCGCTACAATTATCTCACCTTACCCCTATAAATCTCGCCCATGTTAACTTAAGCGCTACAATTATCTCACCTTACCCCTATAAATCTCGCCCATGTTAACTTAAGCGCTACAATTATCTCACCTTACCCCTATAAATCTCGCCCATGTTAACTTAAGCGCTACAATTATCTCACCTTACCCCTATAAATCTCGCCCATGTTAACTTAAGCGCTACAATTATCTCACCTTACCCCTATAAATCTCGCCCATGTTAACTTAAGCGATACAATTATCTCACCTTACCCCTATAAATCTCGCCCATGTTAACTTAAGCGCTACAATTATCTCACCTTACCCCTATAAATCTCGCCCATGTTAACTTAAGCGCTACAATTATCTCACCTTACCCCTATAAATCTCGCCCATGTTAACTTAAGCGCTACAATTATCTCACCTTACCCCTATAAATCTCGCCCATGTTAACTTAAGCGCTACAATTATCTCACCTTACCCCTATAAATCTCGCCCATGTTAACTTAAGCGCTACAATTATCTCACCTTACCCCTATGAACCCGCCCATGTTAACTTAAGTGCTACAATTATCTCACCTTACCCCTCTGAACCCGCCCATGTTAACTTAAGCGCTACAATTATCTCACCTTACCCCTATGAACCCACCCAATATAATTTAAGCGCTACAATTATCTAAACTTACCCCTCTGAACCCGCCCATGTTAACTTAAGTGCTACAATTATCTCACCTTACCCCTCTGAACCCGCCCATGTTAACTTGAGCGCTACAATTATCTCACCTAACCCCTATGAACCCACCCAATATAATTTAAGCGCTACAATTATCTAAACTTACCCCTCTGAACCCGCCCATGTTAACTTAAGTGCTACAATTATCTCACCTTACCCCTCTGAACCCGCCCATGTTAACTTGAGCGCTACAATTATCTCACCTAACCCCTATGAACCCACCCAATATAATTTAAGCGCTACAATTATCTAAACTTACCCCTATGAACCCGCCCATGTTAACTTGAGCGCTACAATTATCTCACCTTACCCCCATGAACCCGCCCATGTTAACTTAAGCGATACAATTATCTCACCTTACCCCTCTGAACCCGCCCATGTTAACTTGAGCGCTACAATTATCTCACCTTACCCCCATGAACCCGCCCATGTTAACTTAAGCGCTACAATTATCTCACCTTACCCCTCTGAACCCGCCCATGTTAACTTAAGCGCTACAATTATCTCACCTTACCCCTCTGAACCCGCCCATGTTAACTTAAGTGCTACAATTATCTCACCTTACCCCTATAAATCTCGCCCATGTTAACTTAAGCGCTACAATTATCTCACCTTACCCCTATAAATCTCGCCCATGTTAACTTAAGCGCTACAATTATCTCACCTTACCCCTCTGAACCCGCCCATGTTAACTTAAGTGCTACAATTATCTCACCTTACCCCTCTGAACCCGCCCATGTTAACTTGAGCGCTACAATTATCTCACCTTACCCCTCTGAACCCGCCCATGTTAACTTAAGCGCTACAATTATCTCACCTTACCCCTATGAACCCGCCCATGTTAACTTAAGCGCTACAATTATCTCACCTTACCCCTATAAATCTCGCCCATGTTAACTTAAGCGATACAATTATCTCACCTTACCCCTATAAATCTCGCCCATGTTAACTTAAGCGCTACAATTATCTCACCTTACCCCTCTGAACCCGCCCATGTTAACTTAAGTGCTACAATTATCTCACCTTACCCCTATGAACCCGCCCATGTTAACTTAAGTGCTACAATTATCTCACCTTACCCCTCTGAACCCGCCCATGTTAACTTAAGTGCTACAATTATCTCACCTTACCCCTATGAACCCGCCCATGTTAACTTAAGCGCTACAATTATCTCACCTTACCCCCATGAACCCACCCATGTTAACTTAAGCGCTACAATTATCTCACCTTACCCCTCTGAACCCGCCCATGTTAACTTAAGCACTACAATTATCTAACCTTACCCCTATGAACCTGCCCATGTTAACTTAAGTTCTAGCATCATCTCACCGTGGTTGGGTCTGTTGGCCAACGAGAACTGTGTAGATGTAGTTGTTTCTGTTGCACACGTGATCAATGCCTACACACAATAAATACACAGCGGTCATGTTATCATTTTTATTATTATTATATATTAATACACTATATTGTAGAAAATGAAAGTATTAATTTTTAGTATAATCGTCTTTACTTATAGATCTATATCTCCATAGCCATCAAACAAAATTATAATAAAATAATTTTTAAAGAGAAGACGCTAAGTCCTATGCAAAGTGTGGTATAAGAGATTTTTCAAGACAGGGGAGGTAACTTTAAATCATATAAAGAAGATTTATTTTTACAAAAATGTTGTGACTCACATCACAGTCACTAGTTTGAAAATAAATTCAAGTGAGATATCACAATAAAATTTTAATTATGTTTATTTAACTGTTTACCTTTGTGAATTAACAATTGGGATAGTAATATTAAGCCCCTCACCACGATTAAAGCTAAAGAAACGTCAGCCGGACTCACCCCTCGGGACACAGGGCACACAGAGGGGGCGGGGAGGACACACGGGGCTGTTGCAGGCCTGGATCACTCGGCACACGTCCCCGGGCAGGCATCGAACGTTCTGGCACAGATCCCCGGACGGCTGGGCGCTGGTCGGTGCCAGCAGAGACACCTGGGATAGGTAGAAACTCAGGTCAAGGTCAAGGCTAATGACGTTATACAGATCCAACGGGGTTTCGATCTCAATCCTCACTCACTGTGATGGAATGCTCTACCACTTCAACCAAATCATCAAGTTTCAGTGAATGTCTATCTACTTGTTCTAAACTACAATTTCGGGGTTTCTATCTCAATCCTCACTCACTGTGATGGAATACTCTACCAATTCAACCAAATCATAAAGTTTCAGTGAATGTCTATCTACTTGTTTTAAACTACAATTTCGGGGTTTCGATCTCAATCCTCACTCACTTTGATGGAATACTCTACCACTTCAACCAAATCATAAAGTTTCAGTGAATGTCTATCTACTTGTTTTAAACTACAATTTCGGGGTTTCGATCTCAATCCTCACTCACTTTGATGGAATACTCTACCACTTCAACCAAATCATAAAGTTTCAGTGAATGTCTATCTACTTGTTTTAAACTACAATTTCGGGGTTTCGATCTCAATCCTCACTCACTTTGATGGAATACTCTACCACTTCAACCAAATCATCAAGTTTCAGTGAATGTCTATCTGCTTGTTCTTAACTACTATTTCAAGATTCCGCTGCTCTCTACAGCAACTGCAAGTTAATCATTAGATGAGCCTACTCGGCTATATTATGTACCTGACAAATTAAGACTTAAATTTAAAATATGGACACAAAGCATTGATTGCCAACCCAGAAAATATCTAGCTCGATTTTTAGCGAGGCAACTCAGCTCTGGTAGGTACCTAGCTTCAACAGTGAAATCCTGAGTAAGGACACTCAATATTTTCATGTGATAACTTAAAAGAAAAGCCCAACTCTAGTTTACATGTAGAATTACAGCCCCGCAAGGCTAATCTTTTTTTTTTCTTCTTCCTATTTAGTTTTGGCTCACTGAAAGCCTGGCATTGTGATCAATGTTAAAGCGTGCCTTTATCATCGTTAAGACCTATCTTGATTGGAGTTTGGTGTGTTGACTTTCCTTTTCAAAACATTAGAACCAGAACATAACATACTCACAGTAGCATAACTAAAACGTTAGGCATCTTAAAGTCAGGACAATCATAAGCATCAGAACAACAACATTAACTACTCACTAACACCAACAACAGCAAAACTAAAACGTTAGCACCAATGTGTGCACAAACACAACAACATTAAGTACTCACCACCAACAACAGCAAAACTAAAACGTTAGCCATCTTAACGCCACGACCAATGTCAGCAACAATCGATCTACCAAGAACGAGCACTCCGACCTCACAAAACGCAACTTTCGTATTTATAGCAACCTCGACTGACAGCTGATGGTCTAGACGGCTTAATTTGACTGTCCTTGTCCTTTACAAACTTTTTGGGTGACATTTTTGACAACAGTTCGATCGAAAAAAGATGTATCGTAAATTTATGGAGCACAATGATATGATCTAGGTTACAAGTGGCGTAATTTAGGTTGGGTTGCTTTCTTTGAGTCACCAATAAAACATAGGCTACTTCATGCTTACCCTCTAAATAGCACGCACAGCAAAAGATGAAGCAATTTTTTAAAAGGGGAATTTGACAGTTTGTTAAAACCATATACTACTGAAGTGTGGTTATGTCCCTTTGGGGACTTAATGTGAGTGAAGAATCTATATATATAATTCACTTCTGGGATCAGTTAGAAAACAAGCTGCAAGCGCCTCCTTGCAGTCCCCTCTCTTTCTCTCTATCGCTATCACTACCACCCCCCACCGCACCCCACCCCAACATTGTCTGGTGAGCGGTGTTCACTCTAAATTTTTACAAAGCTAAATGTTTACAAATCGTAGAGCCGTACAGCCGGGTTTCTATTAGGGGCAGATAATTTAGTTCGATTTTAAACCTACAGGAGGTAACTAAGAAATAACTAAGAGGAGGCTGCTTTCACGGGGGGGGGGGGGGGGGGGGGGGTAGGGTCGGGGTTAGGGGAAAGGGGGGGGGGGGGTTAGTGTTTTAAAGCAAATATTTTCAGTGGCAGCATTGGTACTGTCGAATTTACAATTATGAATTACTGAAAAGTAGAAAATAAAACAACTAAATAGCGGCGTATGATACGCTGCGGGTCGGCTCGTTATTAATATTATAGTATAATTATTATATCAACATCCCTGTCTCTGGCAAGCACCTCTTCCGAAGTAAGTCCACCGTCCCCCAAACGTAATAGAATTTATAAGGAAAGTATTTACTTTTACCAGTGCCCCCCCCCCTTCCGCCCCTACCTCAGAGAAAAATGTCAAAAAGAAACACTGGTATTGCCTGCTTCAAGCTCATGTCGTCACAAGTTCTCTAGCCTGCCCGTTTTCCGCCTGTCCTTTATTATGTTGCTGTTTTACTGCATGATGGTGATGCTGGCGTTTGTCCTAACTAATCGCCTTCTCCTCCACCTAATAATTTTCTAATACTCTTTACCGAGACGGGGAAGGCAACAAATTTATCAAACTGTTTGAATTTAACTTCGAACAATGAAACTAGATTTATTTCATAGAATACATGCTCCTCGCATAGCTGAATGGAATAAGAAGAAGAAATATATTTTTTAAATTTTCATTTTTTTTATAAGGATCTTTAAATTGTACAGATCTACATTATTTTTGCTGGAGTCACCGCCCCTGATAAATTGCCAATCCCAATGGAAAATTGTCAAGTACTCTAATAAAGTACGACACCGCCTCGACTCCTCACCGTCCTAGTTTAGGACACTAGCGTCACCTCGCTGCGGTGTAGCACGTACTTTGTAACTAAGATTTATTTCCACGATGAACTCAAGAGGTGGACTAGGATCACGACTTTGAACTTGTCCGTTCAAATTGGGTAAATTCTTGATTAGGCCTACAACATTTTTTAAAAGTCAATTAATCTAAAATGGTAATACGATTTTTTAAAGATTATTAGCAGAAATTGTTAAAAAAAAAAAAATTCCAACAACGAATAGTTTTACTATATCACCTCATAGTTTTATCTATGGACATTGAGATGTGTTTTGCATCGCGTTTTATCTTCAATAACGTTAGCCAGAATAGTTTTTGTCCCCCCCCCCCCCCCCCCCCCATAAATTTCGTTTGCTCATAAGTGGTAGGTGTAATCTAAATAGAACAGGGTTTTAAAAAAAAATGAAAAGTTCATCCTGAGCGGCATTACTGCATTATATCCATTATATCAATTATACACTAAGTTTCGGCATTACTGCATTATATCAATTATACACTAAGTTTCGGCATTACTGCATTATATCAATTATACAGTCAAAGTATGCTTCCTTGGCTGATTTAACTTTTTCTGTATCAATGTTGTGACATTGTAATTAAAGCGCCCCCCCCCAATTCATTCCAAATGGGGTGTATAAATACCAGAGAGGGGGCAGCAAATTACATAGTTCGCTCCAGAATGGGTCGCTACACCTACACCAAAAGTTCCAAACGACCTGTATGCAGCCACTAAATATCAGGACCATGTATTTATGGAACCAGTATCATAGTGTATCCATACAGGAATTAACAACTGATAACACTAAAAGTAGGGGGGGGGGGTCACAGAGAGTAATAAAGGTGGTGGGGGTTTGAGAGGTATTAAAAACAAAAGTCAAGTATAAAAAAACAACAAAGTCTTTGGGTAAAAATTCATACATTTATTATAGATTTTTTTTTAAAAACATAAATAATATAAAATATGAAAGCAATTAACTGTATTACAAACTAAAAAAAAAGACTTAGAACTTACTTGTATCAATAAATTGATGTTCGGATCTAAATCTAGAAACAATACTGAGAAAACTAATTATTTTGAAAGCATAAAAAATGTAACAGTGTTTGCTAGGGCTGAACAAAGAAAGCTTAGCAACAGCTATCTTCACCTTTTACAGGTAGTTCCCAGTTCAGTGAACATGTCTCTTCATCAGCACAACTTAAAGGTATATATCTCAGATGAATTACTTTTTTTTTACCTAAATCAGCCTCCAGGTGTTGGGTGTTTTAATATGTTTATGTCAAGGATCTCAAACAACCTCAGTGTTAGTCATTTCAGCTTTTGACATATATATATATATATATATATATATATATATATATATATATATATCTATATATATATATATCTATATATATATATATCTATATATATATATATACATATATATAGATATATATAGATATAGATATATATATATACATATATATATATCTATATCTATCTATATCTATATCTATATATATATATATATATATATATATTTATATATATATATATATATATATATATATATATATATATATATATATATATATATATATGTGTGTGTGTGTGTGTACATTGAGATGAAAAAACTGGAGAAAGGTTAAAACAAATGAACAATTTGGAAGAAGCCAGCTTTGGCATTGTCTTGTTGGGGGTGAAACTGGAGAGATATCACACAGCTCAGATTGTTTTAGTTGACCATGCACTGTTTCTTGTTTCAAATTTTAAAGTCTCAGTAGATCATTTGGTCAAAACATGAGCTCTATTAACTGGGGGAAAATGAAATACCTTAGGTTATGTTATTTTTAAAATTTCATAGTTTAAATTTGCTTTTCATTAAAATTAAATAACTTTCTTAACAAATTAATCAATGATTTTTTTTTATAATTATTAGCAAAATTTTAAACAAATTTTAAAAGATAATACTTTGGTATCATAGAATGTGGGCTTATTTCAATTGTCAACAGAAATTTTTTTTTTTCAATTCAGACATATCTATTTGTATTCACTATCACTTGGTTTAGTCATTTATTTAACGAAATATGAATTTTATCTATACTTACTCAACTGTGGACAATGAAGATAAAAACTAAAAGATTGCTATATGCTCTTAGCATAATTAATTTGATGCCCATCTTTCACACACACAACTATATAAATAACTAAAATTTATCACAACATTAATGCAGGAAATAGTTAATTTTCACAAATTCATTATAAAAGCAGAATAATACAATCACAAGTATAGTTTACAAAAAAGAAGACAAAATAAAAGAAATTTGTAGTTAGAAAGACTTCTTGTGTATCAATACCCATATGTCGTGTAGCTGAACTCCACTCTCAATGTACACATTGGCTACACGCTAAGTTACATGATAAAACCAGTGAGCAAAATTTGAATGAGCATGTTTCATAAAGCCTAAGTGCATTGGTTCCTAGTCTAGTCGTGAGTTCAACTATTCTCTAGATCTATAACATTTGCTACAAATTTTATTGCAAAATTATGGCATAGAAGTTTTACATACACATACAATTTTAAAGATTAAAAAAAAATGTACAATGTTTTTGGGTGGATCAGAGAGTAAAGGTATTCTTAACAATGGTATACAACATGATATTGTGGGTAACTCCACTTGCATGAATGATTCCAGGTACCCAGTTTAACTGAGTGGGCTCAAGCTGATCAGACATTGTGTACAGAGCTTTCAAGATGATGGTGTTCAAGCAAACTGCTCAGCCACTCCATTGCTAACCATAATCAACAGCTTTGTAATAAAAACATGTTGGTTTATTAAAACATATTTCATATCACAACATTACACTCTAGAAAGAATTGTTCCCATTTTGTTAAGTACATGCTACTATACTAGAAAAAGTTGTGTAAATAGATTATTTTAACTATCTGAGCTTAGACAAGCCTATACATAAAACTAAAATTAAAAAAAAATAAAAACCCTGAACATTTTTAAGCCTGCCATGACACACAAAATTATAACTTCCACTAAAGCAGAAATGGAGGAAATATACCAGTGACACTCTCTACACTTTAAATAAAATGCACGCATTGTTAAAATTAGTATTTACAAATAATACTGTGAAATAAAGCTAACTCTCTAATATTTCTTTCCCTAGTATCAAAATTATTTTTAAAATAGGTCTTGAAAAAAAAAAAGATATTTTGATTTTTGAAATATGTAAGCAAATACTCAATACAAAGAATTTTTTAAAAAAACTGTTTTATGTGCAAAATAATTTATGTGTGCTCTGATTTAATACATAGCAATGTTAACCTATCCAGAATATTAGGAAGTAAACATAAATGCCTATAAATTCTTAAATTATAATTTTATTTAAAAAAAATAAAACAACAGAAGAGATGTTATGTACACAAAACAGTAGCATAAAAGTAGAGTCATGTAGTGTTAACTGAGTGTGACATTTGTTCATTGTACTCAATATGAGTTAAAAACTGAGCTTAAACCTAGTTATGCAACAAATATTCCCTTATCTATTGCACAACATGTTAGTAATATTGAATTGTAAGGGTTTAGCTCATGAGCTTTCAAATTTAAAAAATTCAACTCAATAATTTTTTTAAAGAGTTAAAGTGTGTTACAATAAAATCTGACAGATTATTTTGTGTATTGTATTCAGGGAAGATAAGAGAACGAAATTATTGCTGCTAAAGAGAGTTAAAAACATATAGCAAACAGAAATATAGGGAAAAATACAAGAAAATTGATAATTCTCAATGAAAATTCAACTCAATAATTTTTTTAAAGAGTTAAAGTGTGTTACAATAAAATCTGACTGATTATTTTGTGTATTGTATTCAGGGAAGATAAGAGAACGAAATTATTGCTGCTACAAAATGAACTAAGGGAAGTAATCCTATAAAATATGTAGACAGGTCACACAACTGAGAATCTCAACTTGCTGAATGTAAGCCTGCACATCCAAAGCAATTTTTTTTAAAAAGTAAGCACTGAATCATAAAGTCAGCACATAGCTGAATGAGATCATGAATGATAAGGTGAGGTAAATATAATCATTAGATATATTAAAAAATGTCGTGAATCACAAATTGACATGTTTTACAGTTAATTTAGAAAAAATTCTCTATTTACATTGATTATAAATCAACTTTTAAATTCTGTGTTTTTACTTATTAAGGGAATGGGTTTATTTGTACATTTAAAAATAAATTTTAAATTCAAAAAACGTTAAAAACGTATACAAACAGAAATATGGGGAAAAATACAAGAAAATTGATAATTCTCAATGAATTTTATGAAAATTTAAAAAAAATAATAATAAGGAAAGGACTAACAAAATGAAGACAGACTTTTAAATTCTTTAAACATAAATAGGAAAATAAATTATCATTATAACAACTTTCTTACAGTTTTTGTAATTTCATGAAAAGATTGTTTAAAATATTAAATAAGTTAGGTGTGATAAAATGCAAGTGAAAGCCGCTACGTTAAAGATAATCCATTGCATTGGTGATCATATAGGAAAAAAGTTCAGGCTGGGCAGACTTCTTACAGTCAAGCTACATGGTTGAATCTCATCAACTAGGACTAGAATAAAACCCATAAAATTGCACAAACAGGAGGTGACCATTATCAGGTGGTGACCTCTATCAGGTGGTGACCTCCAACAGGTGGTGATCTATTTGTCCATCAACTGAGTCTCAAACAGGTCCAGGATCCGCTTGATTTCTTTTCTAGACAACAGGTCAAGGAAAAAAAATCTGTTTGGGTAGATTTTCAGGTAAGGTGATGGTATGCCTCAAGAAAAAAAAAGAAAACAAGGAAAGCTAAAGGAGACAAGGAGACGCAGAGCAGAAAGACAACTAACAAGAGCAAGCCAAGAAAATTGTTTGAGATCAGCAAAAGGTCACAAAAGGCAAACAAAAAAACAAAAAAAAAATATGATGAATAGAGAAGTGAAAAAATAAATTAAAACATGTATAAATAAATCAAAAGCAACCTTACACTGGCCCCCACACTCTCTTTGGAGCAGAAAAAAATTGAAAAAGAAACCTACTACAAAATTATCCCATTCCTATAAAAATCAACTCCTTATTAGAAAACAAATCATATAAACAATCTGATTATAGCGCAGCATTGATCAACTCAAAGTTATTGTTTGAGAACCAAGGATACATTTGTACAGCTAGCTGTTCTACTGGTCCCATCGCCATACTCAGTTCTTCACACTTCGCCATCAGAGCATACATTGACTGAGGACATTGGAAAACATAAACAGATACACATTTTTTTTATATGCAACTTTTTGTGTTTTATAAGTATGTAAGCAAAGAGAATCAGTATTAAAAAAATTGATATAGCAATATATTAACCAAGCTATATGCAATTCAGATTAATCAACAACGCAAAATATGCCTTTTGATAAAAAAAAATAATAAAAATGTTTGAGGGTATCAAATAAAAAACAAACTCTACTAAGCTTATTTATAAACGCATGTCTCAGAAAGATCCTGCGAATTCGCTGGCCTAAAACCATCAGAAATGATGTTCTATGGCAACGGACAAATCAACTGCCAGTGGAAGTAGAGATCCTCCAGAGAAAATGGAAATGGATTGGCCACACACTCAGGAAGCCTGTATCCAGCATAACAAGACAGGCCCTCACCTGGAATCCACAAGGCAGGAGGAAGAGAGGCAGACCAAGAAAGACCTGGAGACGTGACCTGGAAGAAGACACCAAGAAGATTGGATACACCTGGGGACAGTTGGAGAGACTAGCCCTGGACAGAGACGTCTGGAAAGCTCTTGTCAGCGGCCTATGTCCCAGTAGGGACGACAGGCAAACATGACATGACATGACTAAGCTTATTTAACCAAATCATGAGATGAAATCAAACTCCTAGCTTAGAAAAATTTAGCGTTAATTTTAAAAGTTTTATATTTGATTTAAAACCACAACAAATTACCTTAATACTAGCATCAACAAAATCAAATAAACCACAAAAAACTACCTTAATACTAGCATCAACAAAATCAAATAAACCACAACAAATTACCTTAATACTAGCATCAACAGAATCACAAGTTATGTCAACTGATCGCTTGTATGCATCTTGACAACCAATAGTTAAAGCTGACATCTACATTACAAATATAAAAAAAAACAAGATACAAAAAAAATAAAAATAATAATATAAGTTTATGTCAGCCATTTTCGGCAATAATTTAACATTGAAAATACCAAACACATAATATCAACTCTAATTTAAAAAGGATAAAAATAGAATCTGACCTTGTGTAAATTGTTACGAATGTTACCCATCATGAGGTCAAGGTTGTCAGCTACCCTTCGCGCATGATTTTCCAGCTCAATAACAGCGGCAGCATCAATTGGTGGAATGTCATCTGGACTTTGCTGGAACTGGCTGCTCGGTGACCTCGAGACACCGGAAGAGGTGGCGAATGACGTGGATGAGGAGAAGGAAGTCACGCTGCGGACACTAGAGCGACGACTATCTGTGCTAACTGTATCCGCTGTAAACAGAAGCGCAACTCAGATTATTTCTTTTATAAAAAGGTAGTACTTTTATACCTATGTGAAATAGAAATAAATCGACTAATTAACAATCTGTTATGCTAAATAGGAAAACATATGACTATGTTATCTTTAATGCACTGTGCTGAAAATATAAAAAGATAAATAGATAACCAAACTAGCTGTAATAATTTGAAAATAAATTTATTGCCAATAAAACATTTATTCACTAAACCCACATTTCTATTTCAAATGTTCATCTTGCTATAATATGACTTCTAGTATTTTAATACAATTTAATTTCATTTAAAATACATAGGCTATAAAATATACTTTTTTTTACTGTACATTAAAAAATAATTAATTTTACAATAACAAAACCTATTTTTAGTTCTACCCACTTGTTTCTCTAGTACTGATAAAATTTGCAACTTTGGCCTTAACTTGTCTTAAAGGGTTCATCTTAAACAGGACAATAGCACTTTATACAGTAGTTATTTAAACAGAATTTAGATAATAAATCCACAGTTGGTTTATATATGCACAAACACCAGCTCACAAGGTTTGACACAATGATGTAAAACTGCACAGTTTTGCTTCAAATATCACTTAGGAATAAAATGTTTTAAAAGTTAACAGAGGAAAAAAAAAGAAGGGGAAAAAAAACAGCATCACATGCTTATCTCCCCTCCCTCCCTGCACTGAAGAAGTAAGTCACATGATGTTTTACCTTTTAAAACAATGCCACCTTTAGCTATATAGATGCTATATATCTATCTAACAGACAGGGTATGCTTTATCTTAAAATACATGGATAACTAAATTTGTTCAAGGGTTTTATCATACAATAATGATGTTTCTAAAAATAAGGTAATTAAAGCTTTTTTTTTAACAATGTAATTTAACTTTTTAAAGTCTTTAATACGTTTGTAATTGTGGAAAGTGTAGAACAAAATATGTGGTGTGCTTTCAAAGAAATCAAATACATTGTAATAATTGTTTCTGTTCAAGCTTATTAATATGTGTGTTTCTTTCAGGCATCTGTCATATGATGTGCAACTTCTCTCCCCCCCCCCCCACCAATCTAGAACATGCCCAACCCCTCCCACCCTCCACTGAATGAAATAGAGAAAATATATAATCAATCATCTAGGTATATACTTAAACCAGTGACCCTCCTCCCCCTTGAGAAAAATGTCTGAAAGAAACAATGTAGCGTTAATGGGTAGTGCTTATGAGATTAACTATGAAATGGCAATATAATTATTACTTAAACTTAAATACAACTTTTTTTTTTTATTTGATATCAATTATACACACTGACTTTATAATTTTACCAAACAAATAATTTTGTTTTCTTTATCAAAATTTTTTTATTTAACAACATTTTTATGCCAGGGTTACATGAATACAATTATGATAAAGTGGGAGTAAGCTCCCCTAATTTTTTGTGTATAATTAGTTATACTGGGTAAAAATAAGAATGTTGGGATAGCACTTCCAGGGGAATTAGCTGTAGAAATGGTAGGTAAGTTTGTGACAAAACCACTTTTTTATCAGGAAAATACAGATATGCAAAAAGTTATGAGAATAGAAAATTAATTATCGAATTCTGAAGGTTTATGAGAAAGAGGAAACAGAGTAAAATATTCTACAAGAACGTAAAACTAACTGTCACTACTGTTAGACTAGTTGGATAAGCGAATGAAAATTAATTATACCAACCTACGTAAGACATGGGACTACTCTGTTTGATTTTTTCATGCAGGTCATCAGCTACAAACTGGATCATGTCCCCTTTCCTTGTTATTGTGCCTTGTGGCAAGCTGTTAGACAGACTGCCCCCAGGCTCCACCAAACGGTCATCTGATGCTTTGATATCTATGGGGCTGCTCCCACCCTGAGACGGCTCAACGTGCTGTCCGTCCATCTCCTCATCGCTACTATCAAAACTATTTTTAGAGTCATTTTCATAGACGATATGGTTGATTTTTCGTTTTTCTTGTTTAGATGTCTGGAGCGGCCAGGGTAAGGAAAGACTTTCTGGCCTCAAAGCATTGCTAATTTCTGGAACGGCGTCACCGGAAGCACCAGCGTTCACTGACAAATCAGCATCAGCACTGTCAGGGGTGATAGTGGAGCTATTCTCATTGCAGCTGTTTGTGTGTTGGACTGAAGACTTTCCATACATGTCTACAGGCTTGTCAAGCTTTGTCAGACCTTCAAAATTTTCCATCGAGTCCGAACTCAGGCCAGATTTCCCATTTAGCTCCGACTCCACATCAGAGTAGCGCAGAGTTTTCTGGGAGGACAAGGAAATATCCGGTGAAAAGTCTGACGCTGTTGGGTCCTCGTCTGTGTTTGATTCATTTTGTGCTGGACTTTTTACGTTGGAGCTATGACCACTATCGCATTCTGATATGGAAGAGTTACTGGTGGATTTATCCATTTGATTCATTGTGGTGGTATCTTTCAAATGGATATGATTTTGATTTATAATGGGTTCAGGATGCAAACCATTGTGCAGCGTGGACATATTCAGAATTTCTTGTGTTCGTTCAATGGAGTTGCAATGATTGCCTCAATCATTATTCAACAATCATTAGACATTACACCTAAAAAGATATTAAAAAAACATAAAAATATTATAGTGTGTATTTTCATTACATTTGCTAAATACTACAAGATCTAAGTTGCATGTAATAAATATATTTATTACTATTTATATATAAAATATATTTGAAGATATATTATAAAAGAACAGAATATATGTAGTACATATGTACACACTACACAGTAGCTGCAACATAAGTTTTAAATAATGAACAAAAAGAATCATTCTGTGTCACCAAAATTAAATTACATGCAAAAAAAATTATCATAACTTTTTATAGTTTCATTGAATAGAAAATAGTCCGTACTTAGGCAGTTCAATAGCTAATACCCTTACTTCGATACCCCAAAAACTTAGACTATTCTAAGAAAGTTGTTAGGTCATTCGTTTCCCAACTTCACTGTTTGTTTATATTAACATCACAGTTCTTACTTATGCTAGACGCACATTACTAAGATGGTGGCCAGTTGATAAAGTGGTAGAGGGATGATTTTGAAAGCATCATCAATTTTCTATAGAAATTGGAACTGCCAGTTCCTATTTAAGTCTGTTCATTAAGAATTGTTAGATGCACTTATGACCTAATTACTTTATTTGTTATAAGAGTGGTGTATTCACGAAGTAAGCTTTTTAATGCTTTGTGTTCACCAAATTAAACTATTCCTAAACACAGCTGAAAAAAAAAAGGGGCATAGATATACAATAGATGTTTGAAGGCCTTAATTTTAATCAGATGACATTATCTAGCAATAATTCTATGACTATGAGCAACAAGTAATATGAAAATCACTACTCAAAAATGCCATTTTATTAATATTATTATCTTATTGATGAAAATTAATCACTGGAAAATGTATGAATGCCACTCCAAAATCCAATCACATTTGGCTAGATTTATTAATTTTTTACTATTATTTAATGTCATGAGACACCAAAAAGTAGAATGCTTTTCTCATTTCACAAGGATTTTTATAACTTTTCAAACAGAAAGTAGGGCTATAATAAGTTGGATTGTAGTTTTTGTACCTAACCCTAATCCTAGCCATTGGTCACTGCGCATGCGCAGAACTATCTTTTGCCGACTAGGTGGTGACGTTGGGGCAAAAACACTTTTTCCAAGTAATCACTTCGTATTAATAATAGCCTAGATCTAGCAAATACTAGTGATTAGTGATTAGTTTGGCCTACTAAAAAAATAGGCCTACTACTACTACAAGTACTAGACTCTAGTAGGCCGTTCGAATTCACAGCTTCCGGGTTTGTTGTTTTGAAGCCATCTCACGGCTCATGCGCTTACCAAAAATGGCGACCAGTTTCGCTTTCACTAATGGGTAGAGGGATAAAACTAATGATTACGAAGCCATCGTTAATTTTAGACATCGGAACTATCCGTTTCTATTTAAGTCTGTTGTTTAAGAATTGTCGGATCTACTTTTGGCCTAATTTCTTTGTTTGTATTTAACGAGGCCGTCGAGAGAAAGTCACGCTTATTTAGCTTGCGTTTCAAGTCGAATTAACTAAAGCAGGTGCGCTCGACAATAACTTTTTTATTTTTTACAATTTTTATAACATCTTTACTATCAAATAAAAATTGAATTGTTTAATGAAATTAGGGTGAAAACAATACATTTGAGGGTGTAAGTGATCACCCCTCAATAATGCCATTTTATTATATTCTTGTTTGGTGAAAACGAGGCGCGGGAAAATGTGTGCCGCGCAAGAATCCAATCATTTGGCTAGATTTATGACTGTTTTTTATGTCATACCTAAAAATAGAATGTTTACGCTTTCTTCGTTGATGATCGTTTTTATTATTTTTTAAATTGAAAGTATGAATTATTAGTTAGATTGCGGATTTTGTAACTTGGTATACTTACCTTTTATCAATTTAAAAAACATAGCATGCTAATTGTGAACAAATATAGTCATAAAACACAGAAATATAAAGTTATAATTGCGATGTGCCACACCCGGGCCACACCCCCTCAAGAAAGCATGTGTTTATTAAGCTGTTTATCTCACTTTACAACAGTAATTAAAATTAATTTTCAAATTTTTATCACTTATTGGGTAAGATTAAGCACATGTTTACCAAAAATAAAAATAAAACAAAAGCAAATTCTGTTTTAATGAAGGTCACGGGTGAAGTTTTTTTTTCCTTCTGTCACGTTCAGTGGAGGGTGCCACAGGCTGACCTGACTTTGGAATTTTTTTCAGTAATAATGACTTTGCACAGAAAGTTAAAATATGCTAAATTAGCTTAGTTTACTAGTGTTCTAGCTATTATTGATACATTTTTAATAAAAAAATCATTCTGTAATTCTCATCAAACAGCCTAGACTCTAGTCATTACTAGTGAATAGTTATTAGTTAGCCTACTTAGGGTAAAATCTTAGTTTAGCGTCGTAAATTCGGCCAAAACTAGTAATGTAGGAGAGAGTGCAATAATGAATATGTCATTAAATATGAGTATATTTTCGTATATTTTGATAAAATATTATAAATAATTGAATAATAGATCACCATTTATGGTTAAATCAATTTAAATATCCTGAAATTAATTTTTATCAACCCTGTTCGAGATAGTAAATTTACTATTAAAAACAGCAGCCATCTTAAGAAAATGTTATTTAGAGTAGCTTCCCTTTCATTTCTATTCGTATGAAAATGTATTTAAATATGATTGTCTTGTTGTATAGTCCGTATAACAAAGCATTTTTTTTTTTAATTCTGCTCTTTAAAAACTGAATGTCCTAAGAAACAACTTTATTAATTCTAGAAGCATTGTGAGATGCAACTTGTATCCATGTTTTAAATCACGTTTTTTTTTTACTAATGTTTATTTGATCTTACTATTACTATATAGTTTGAGTTTTTTCTTATTGTTTGAATGTTCACTATTTTCATTTCAGGTTTTTCTTTTCATCAGTTAGATCTAGTGATTCTATCGTAACTTATGACATTTTTTTTTTACTTCTCTTTACCTTAATTAAACCCCAACCTCCGTCATATTTTTGTTGTCAATGTCACAACAAGTCATAAGGGGGCATCCATAAATGACGTCACACTCGTAGGGGGGAGGGGGCGGGTCCGTAATTTTGTGACGATGTGTGATGAGGGGGAGGGGGGGGGGGGGTTCAGATGTTGCGACGTCACATTTTTGCATTATAAAAAAAGAAAAAAGTTTTAATAAATTGTAATAGTTTAGACAAGATTTTGGAAAAATATCGATGTTAAAAAAAAATTCAACTGCAATTTTGAGGGGGGTTGTAGGTTGAGGTGTGACGTCATTTTAGGGGGGGGGGGTCTGGCTTTTTCTGACGACGTGTGACGGAGGGGAGGGGGGGGGGGAGGTAAAAATCGTCAAAAAAGCGTGACGTCATTTATGGATGACCCCTAATGTAAAAAATTACGCTTCGCTCTGCCTTATCTAAGATCTCTAGCCATAATTTTGACAACAATAAATGTTTGTCATAATTTATATATACAGAGAGACAAAATGTATTATCCACCAGCTTCCCTCGTAAAACATCATCTAAAATAATCAGCCACTCCACCCCTTAAGTGCGTGTTGTCATTATGGTCGATCGCAAGTCTCCACCTGCCAGACACATTTTGGTTATCCTTTGTTGTCAAATTGTCAATATCAAGTACCCAAGTGAGTGATATGGGGTTGTCCATAAATGATGTCACATATGATTTGCTACGGGAGTGAGTGAAGATTTGTGACGTCAACTCAGGCGGCTTTGCAATTTATGACGTGTCGGTCTCATGAAAGGAGGTGAACGGGGAAAAATACCTATGTGGTTGATGGAGAACCTCTATAATGCTTTGTTCAATCAAAATAACGATAAATAAGCATTAGTATACGTATACCTTGCTTAAAACGAATTATCATAAATGTTGCAAGCCTGCTAGTTTAAGACATTTGGCAAAACGGCCTTAACTTAACACATTATCCCCGTCAAAAAGGCTTGCCACCAAATGCCTGCCGACGAATAAGCCGCGTCTAATGCGGGGCGTTAGGAATACGGCCATTAGCATGGGCCGCGTTAGAGCACCAGTAGGCTATCGCGCTTTGTAAGATGACGTAAATATTTAAATTCAATTTCGCTAAACTGCGCAAAAATTTAGTAATGTTCCATCGTTTGAGGAAATTTATTTTCTTGGACTTAAATTGAAATATCATGTTGACTGTCTGGCTCATAATTTCCGAATATCACTTTTAATGTATCAAGATTCAGAACTATAATTTACTTTAATATAAGTGTCATCTTATCGTTTATTGTGCTTTTTATAAAGCGCGGAGCAGCTACAAAATCGGACGGCCATCCTGTTTTCACCAAGCTTCTTTTGGAGCTTAATATGGGTAGTCTAGTTCTATACGGTGTGAGCTTAATACATTTTTAAAGGGCCGAAAGTCTCAAGACAGCAAGCTTGCTTAAATGGACGAGTGATAGATGTGTTAGGGGCTGTTTAATGAACACCAACTTATGTAATCAAATTAAACGTCGCAAAAGCGTCAAAAAGGCAGTGCTTGTTGTTGTTTTTTTCTATAAAATTAGCCTAACGGTCGGCGGTACCGCTACATGACGTCACGTGCGAGCGTTAACTCGGTGACGATGTGCTAAGTGGGGGAATGAAAAAGGTAGGGTTCAAGAAATGCGACTCAGCAAGCTTTTTACATTTCTTGACCCTTCTTAATAGTTCTTTCGTCCCCACTGAGAAAATGGATCACCAATGAATGACGCGTCATACTTCTACAGCTGGTCTTTCTCCCACAACCATCCCGTTTTCACGAAAAAAAAAACCTGACCCGTCTCCAAAATCACATCGCTGAGTTCTACTCAACCTCTCCCCACCACAAATCACAATTTCTATCTGAAACAATATGTTCATGTTTGCTCTGTAATAATGCACGC